AAAAAAAAAAAAAAAAAAAAAAAAAAAATTAGAAAAAGACATAGGAGAAACAAACTATAAAACTTTTAGAAAAACGCAGCCTAGGCAGAGAGTTCTTAGGTGTGATATCAAAAGCACAATCCAGAGAAATTTTTAAAGCGGAATAAATTAGATTTCATCAAAATTAAAAACAATTGCTCAGTGAAAGACCCTGTTAAGAGGATGAAAAAACAAGCTACACACTGGGAGAAAATATTCACAAATTGCCTATCGGACAAAGGAATTGTATCTAGAATATATAAAGAACTCTTAAAACTCAACAGTATAAAAACAAAAAAATCTGATTAGAAAATGGGTAAAAATGGCCAGGCGCAGTGGCTCATGCCTATAATCCCAGCATTCTGGGAGGCCAAGGCAGGCAGATCACCTGAGATCAGGAGTTTCCAACCAGCCTGGCAACATGGTGAAACCTCGTCGCTACTTAAAAATACAAAATTAGCTCGGTGTAATCCCAGCTACTTGGGAGGCTGAGGCAGGAGAATCACTTAAACCCGGGAGGCAGAGGTTGCAATGAGCCGAGATGTGCCACTGCACTCCAGTCTGGCGACAAGAGCAAAACTCCGTCTCAAAAAAAAAAAAAGAAAAAGAAAATTGGTGAAAGATGTGGTGCAGCTGTGTCCCGTCGGGTGGCCCCACAGAGCCACCATAGCCGCCCGTCTTCCCCAACCCAAAGACTCAGCGGCGCCACCATGGCCCACGTGGAAGAAGGTGAGGAACCCTGCGCCCTGTCCTTTCACTCCCGGGGCGCAGGCTCCAGGTCCAGGTCGGGAGGCAGCAAGATGTTCTCTCTCAAGAAGTGGAACGCGGTGGCCATGTGGAGCTGGGACGTGGAGTTCCATAAGCGCACCATCTGCAGAGTCCAGGTGATGGATGCCTGTCTTAGATATCAAGCTGAAAACAAACAAGAAGACTGTGTTGTGGTCTGGGGAGAATATAATCATTCCTTCCACATCTGCTGCACGTCCCTGTGGGTGAAACAGAACAATTGCTGCCCTCTCTGCCAGCAAGACTGGGTGGTCCAAAGAATCGGTAAATGAGAGTGGTTAGAAGGCTTCTTAGTGCAGGTGTTCAGAGCCCTGGTGGATCTTGTTATCAAGTGCCCTACAAAGGCTAGAACACTCCAGGGAATTAATTCTTCAAATAGGAGTCGATGGATCTGTGGTCCTTTGGGACCCACCAAAGGCTTGGTTTAGCATTTTGTAGTTTTATTTTCAGAAATTCTCTGCAATTAATAAGATAATTTATTAAAGATGGTCCTTTCTACCTCTGTGGTGTGTGCTACAAAAAAAGGAGAGAACTCTAAATTGAATCACCTTTTTAATTTACCCATTTCTGTACAACAGGTTGTGGAAGCAGTTTAATTCAGAGGAGAACTTTTTGCATGCTTATGGTTGAGCAGTTAAAAAATAATGTTAGCTCTCTCAACACTGTTGCATTAAAAAAAAAAGTAACAAAGTCCAGTTTAACCCCCCCACACCAAAAAAAAAGAATGATATGAACAGACATTTTACCATAGAGGATATATGGATGGCGAATGATATTCAACATCATTAGCCATTATGGAAATACAAATGAAAACCATGATTCGTTTTCACTACATATGTATTAGAATGGCTGAAATAAAAAACAGTGACAATTTCAGCTGACTTTTGACACCACGGACCATTTATTTCCTTTCTAACATTCCCTTACATTTATTCATCTTGTTCCTCATTATTTCTCTGTCATCTCCATGGGTTCCTCTTCCTTGACTGGCTTGTGGCCACTCTTCTTTCCTTGAATCTCCCTGGATGATTCTCTCTTTTTCTGATTTCAACTACCATCCATATATAGAGGACTCACAGAGACTTTTCTGCACAAATATCTGAGTCAACATGTTAAAAAAAAATGACCCCACAAGCTTCCTTCATAAGACTCCTCTTCCTCATTTTCTATTCTAGTTGTTATTATCACCATCTATCTGGTTACTCACACTTAAAATATCTGAATCTGAACTTTTTTTTCCCCCTCTGTAACTACCTCCCTCCCATATACTTAGTCCCCAAGAGCTCTATATAGTTCTCAAATCGGTCATTTTCTTGTCCTAGCCTTTGATCAGAACTTCATCCCTTGTCTTGACCACCATGGCCAACAGTGGCTTTTTTTTTCTTCTTCTTGTTTTGAGTCTTGCTCTGTCACCCAGGCTGGAATGCAGTGGGGCAATCTCAGCTCATTGCAACCTCTGCATCCTGGGTTCAAGCAATTTTCGTGCCTCAGCCTTGCAAATAGCTGGGATTACAGGCACACACCACCAGGCCTGGCTAATTTATGTATTTTTAGTAGAGACAGAGTTTCACCATGTTGGCCAGCCTGGTCTCAAACTCCTGACCTCAAGTGATCTGCCTGCTTCAGCCTCCCAAAGTGCTGGGATTGCAGGTATGAGCCACTGTGCCGGGGCAGAAGTTGCTTCTTAACTATTATGCTGTCAAGCACCAAAAATAGTTACTTAATGAATGATTGATGAATGAATAAATGTAAAAACACATGTTCAGTAAAATATAACAGCTGTTATGATAGAGGTATGAAGAGACTACAGTGAGGGCATAAAATAGAAAGGTTAAAAAAATTTTTTTTTTCTGTTTTTTGAGGTAGTTTCTCACTCTGTCGCCCAGGCTGGTGTGCAGGGGAGTGATCTGGGGTTACTGTAACATCTGCTTCCCAGGCGCAAGCGATCTTCTAGCCTCAGCCTCCTGAGGAGCTGGAACTACAGGTGTGAGCCACCACACTTGGCTATTTATTTATTTATTTATAGAGATGGGGTTTCCCCATGTTGCCCACACTTGTCTCTAACTCCTGAGCTGAAAGGGATCCACCTGCTTCCACCTCCCAAAGTGCTGCGGTTACAGGCATGAGCCAACTGTGCCAGCCCAGGAAGCTTTCACGAAAGATTTTGAAAGTACATCACTTGATTTAGAAAAGACAGCGTTTTGCTAAGGAAGATTATATACTTTAATTCTAAGGGTCAAACTTTTTTTTTTTTAGAGAAATGAAATTACTGTCTATACAGTTGGGCTTGAAGTCATAAAGGGGAGTGCTTGAGATCACAGAAATAAGCAAGGAAGTTCTTTTTTTTTTTTTGAAAGAAAGAAAGAGAAAGGGGGAGAGAGAACAGGAGTCTTGCTCTATTGCCCAGGCTGGAATGCAATCTAAAAATAGGTATTAAAAACCTCTTTTATGCCGATAATTGTACTTAACAGCGGAGACAGGAAGGAATAAGGGAAGAAAATAACAAACAGCCAACAATATTTCATTTAAGTCTGTGAAATGCTATGCAAATGCTGAAGACTGATTTACTTCCAATTATGTGGTCACCTTCAAAATAGGTGTAATATGATACTGAGAAAAATGTATGTTCTGTGGACCTGGGGTGAAGAATTCTATAAATATTCACTGAGTTTACTTGTTCCAGGTCTGAGTTCAAATCATTGATGTCCCTGTTAATTTTCTATCTCATTGATCCATCGAATATTAACAATGTGGTGTCAAAGTCTCCCGCTATTATTGTGCGGGAGTCCAAGTCTCTTTATAAGTCATTAAGAACTTGTCTTATGTATCTGGGTGCTCCTATATAGGGTGCATATTATATTTATGATCATTGACTCCTGTTGTTGCATTGATCCTTTTACCATTATGTAATGTCCTTCTTTGTTTCTTTTAGTCTTTGTTACTATTAAAGCCTATTTTGTCAGAGACGAAAGTTACAACTCCTGTTTTCTTTTCTTTTTTTTTTGCTCTCCATTTGATTGGTAAATCTTCCACCAGCCCTTTGTTTTGAGTCTTTGTGTGTCCTTGCTTATGAGATGGATCTGGATACAGTGAACCAATGGGTTTTGACTTTTTATTCAATTTGCCTGTGTCTTTGATTGGGGCATTTAATCCATTTAAATTTAGAATTAATATTGATATTTGTAAGTTTAATATTGTCATTTAATGCTAGCTGGCTATTTTGCCCATTAGTTGATATAGATTCTTCATCATGGAGATACTCTTTACCTTTTGGTAAGTTTTTGGGATGACTGATACTGGTTGTTCCTTTCTGTGTATAGTGCTTCTTTCAGAAGCTCTTGTAAAGCAGGCCTGGTGGTGATTAAATCTCTGAGTGCTTGCTTGTTCTTGAAAAATTTTATTTTTCCTTCATTTATGAAGCTTAATTGGGCTGGATATGAGATTCTGGGTTGAAAATTCTTTTCTTTGAGGATATTGAATATTGATCCCCACTCTCTGCTAGTTCGTAGGGTTTCGGCTGAGAGATCTGCTGTGAGTCTGATAGGCTTCCCTTTATGGGTAACCTGACCTTTCTCTCTAGCTGTCCTTAGAATTTTCTCCTTCATTTCAACCCTGGTGAATCTAACGATTATGTGTCTTGGGGTTGCTCTACTTGAGGAATATCTTTGTGGCGTTCTCTGTATTACCTGAAGTTGAGTATTTTCCTGCCTTACTAGGTTAGGAAAGTTTTCCTGAATACTATCCTGAAGAATACTTTCCAGCTTGGATTCATTCTCTTCATGACATTCAGGTACACCTATCAAAAGTAAATTAGGTCTTTTCACATAGTCCCATATTTCCTGGATACTTGGCTCATTCCTTTTTACTTTCTTCTCTAGTTTTGTCTTCTCGTTTCATTTCATTAAGTTGGTCTTCGACCTCTGATATCCTTTCTTCTGCTTGATCAATTCGACTGTTAAAACCTGTGCATACTTTGTGCAGTTCTCATATTGTGTTCTTCAGTTCCATTAATTCACTTATATTCCTCTCTAGATTGTCTATTCTCGTTAGGATTTCGTCAATCCTTTTTTCAAGGTTCTTAGTTTCTTTACATTGGGCTAGAACATGTTCTTTTAACTCACATAAGTTTCTTATCATCCATCTTCTGAAGCCTAATTCTGTTATTGGAACGCACTCGTTCTCCATCAGGCCTTGTTCCCTTGTTGATGAGGAACTGTGATCCTCTGTGGAGGGAGAGGCATTCTGATTTTGGGTATTCTCAGCCTTTTTACGCTGGTTTCTTCCCATCATTGTAAATTTATCCACCTGTCGTCTTTGTAATTACCGACTTTCAAATTTGGTCTCTGAGTGGACGTCCAACTTGTTGATTCCCAGTGCCGGAATCTGAGCAACCCACTGCGCCGGCCAAAACGGCAGCGTTAAGATTCGTGGTGCTTTTCTGCCGGGGAATCTCCGGTCTGGCTTCCTTCTTGAGTCCCTTTTTCAATCAGCTGAATAGGCGACTCTGCCTTCCCAGAGCTCCAAACATCGACCAAAAGGGGACCCAGTCCCATTTACTGGGCGCCAGCAAAACCGCCTCACCGTCCATAAGAGTCGCGCTGGCGACATGTGGGGCTCCTCCGCTGGGAATCTCCTGGTACATGAGCAACAAAAATTCTTCTGAAAGTGTGGCGTCCTCTCGTTCTCTGCGCTTTCACTGGGAGCTACAATCCTGAGCTGCTAGTGATCAGCCATCTTGGATCTCTGTCCTAAGTCTCAGTCTTACTGGCAAGGGACTCACACTGCGAAACACCTGCAATCCGCAGAGTGTCGTCATGGCACACCACACCGGTGTAAACGAGCTTCAGTAAAGAGGAACCCCAAGGGGATTCGGGAGAAAAAAGCAGAGCAACACCATGAGCAGCTGTCTCCCCAACGCTTGAGGAGCCAGAATCCTGGAGGCTGTGAATTGATGTTCCAAACTTAAGACAAAGTTAAATTTGCCTTCTTTCGTAAGAAAGAAGTTTCATAGACTTCTTCCTTAACTAACAGGGGGCTCAGAATGAGAAAAGAAGTCACATGGTTGCCTAAAATTACTTTTCCTATAATCAACATAATAGTAGGCAAGACTAAAGTAGTTAAGGTTTTTAATAATGAATGTATTTTAATAAAGTCACAAAGCCAAATGAGCCACAGCAAATGTTCTGCTGTGTTTTGTAGGGAAAAAGTAATGTAGGAATAATTTTTAAAAATCTAAACAACATCCAAGAATCTCAACTCCCTATAACTTATAACCTGAAGAATTCCTTTCCTCATCCATGAAACTAAGATACAGTAGCTCCCCACCACCCTTATCCGTGGTTTCGCCTTCCATGACGATTTCAGTTACCCATGGTCAACTGTGGGTCAAAAATATTAAAGGGAAAATTCCAGAAATAAATAATTGACAATTTTAAATTGCCCGCCTGGATGTGACTCCTCTCTTTGTGAGGTAAATCCATGATGTAGATGCTTCCCGTCCACTCGTCACTTAGGAGCGGTTACCAGATCCAGTATCAGGGCTTGTGTTCAAATCACCCTTATTTCACTTC